CACACACACACTCACACTCAAACACACACTCACACACCACACCCACACAGACACACTCCCACACACACACCACACACTCACACACACACACCACCCACACACACACACACACGTACCTTACAGTACATATAGTTGTGATTGTGTTGGTGTATCCTATCTACCAGCCCTCACAAAACATCAATTGAGCCCCCACACGACAAAAAAAAAAAAGCTAACTGGCCCCCGACACGGACCATGATCACTTTTTGTCTGGTCTTAATATCAGTCGATCATTTCTCCCGCGAGATTCCGGAAGTTGGGAGGGAGGGAAGGGGTGGGAGGGGAAGGAAGGGAAGGGAAGGAGGGAGGGAAGGAAGGGGGGGAGGGGGAGGAGGGATCGGAAGGGGGGAGGGGGAGGAGGGAAGGGAAGGGGTGGAGGGAGGAGGAAGGAAGGGAAGGGGATGGAGGGGGGGAGAAGGAAGGGAAGGGGTGCAGGGAAGGGAAGGGGGGAGGGGAGGAGGGATGGGAAGGGGTGGAGTGGGGAGGAGGGAAGGGAAGGGGTGTAGGAAAGGGAAGGGGGGGAGGGGGGAGGAAGGAAGGGAAGGGGTGTAGGGAAGGGAAAGGGGGGAGAGGGAGGAAGGAAGGGAAGGGGTGAAGGGAAGGGGGGAGGGGGGGAGGGGAGGAAGTTGGAGGAGTGGGTTGGTGAAGAAGACGATAGACGAGGGGGGTGGGTGAAGGAAGAGGATAAGGGGGGGGAGGGAGGGAGAGGAGAGGGGGAAGAAGAGAAAGGAAGACGAGGATATATAAGTTACGCTAATTTTCTGTGTTTTCTTATTCATAATTGTTTTCTCTCCTTATTGTACTCTTTTAATCTTTCTCTTCCGTCCCTTCTTCCTATTTTATCTATTTATTTATTTATCTCCTTTTTCCAACTTTGTTTAATTACCAACCATCACCGATTCTCCTTAGGAACTTGAAACGTACCTTTTGTTTGTTTGTTTGTTCATCTGTACATTGTTTGCTGGCTTGTTTGTTTTTTTTTTGTTTGGCGTTGTTTGTTTGTACGCTGTTTGTTTGTTTGCTCATCTGTACGTTGTTTGCTGTTTGTTTGTTTTTTGTCTGACGTTGTTTGTTTGTACGCTGTTTGTTTGTTTGTTCATCTGTACGTTGTGTGCTGGTTTGTTTGTTTTTTATCTGACGTTGTTTGTTTGTACGCTGTTTGTCTGTTTCTGCATCTGTACGTTTTTTGCCTGTTTGTTTGGTTATCTGACGTTGTTTGTTTGTTTATTTGTACGTTGTTTGTTTGTTTGCTTGTTTACTTGGTTTGCGTTTTATATTAAAGGGAAGATTTTGATGTTTATGATGATGGTGATGATAAGAATGAACGATACTGATGATTTTGAGAAAGAGAGAGGGAAGGAGGAAGGGAGGGAGAAGAAAGGGGAGAGAAGAAGGAAGGGAGAGAAAGGGAGGGGAAAGGAGGGAGAAGAGAAAGGAGAGAGAGAAGGAGAGAGTGAGAGGAGGAGGAAAAGGAAGATTTTAGGAGGGGAAAGAGAGAGCGGAGAGGAATGAAGAAAGAGGGAACAGGAGCGAAAGAGAAGAGAGAGAAAATGAGAGTAGAAAGAAGGAGAGAGAAACGTGGAAAAATAACAGAACATTTCCAATAACCAACACCGCAGAATGAGACAGAGGAAAAAGACGAAGAAGAAGAAGAAAAAAGAAGAGAAGAAGAAAGTTGAAGAAAAGAAAAAAGAAAACAGAACTCAGAAAAAAAAGCGAAAAGAATGAAGGAAAAGGGGAACAAAATTAAGAACGAGAAAGAACCCAAAGCAACAGGAAACCAAAACAAATCAGTACGAGAGAGATAAGAGAATCATAAGGGGGGGGGGAGAGGAGAGGGGGGGGAGGGGGTAGAGGAGAGAGAGGAGGGAAAGAGGGGAAGAAGGAGGAGGTGAGGGGAGGAGGAGGGATAGAAGGGGAGGAGGGAAAGAGAGGGGAGTGGGAGAGGAGGGAGAGAGGAGGGGGGGGAGGGGGAGAGGAAGAGGAGGGGGGAAGAAGGAGGAGGTGAGGGGAGGAGGAGGGACAGAAGGGGAGGAGGGGAAGGAGGGAGTGGAGAGGAGGGAGAGGAGGGAAGAGGGAGAGGAGGGAGAGAGGATGGAGAGGGGGAGGAAGAGGAGGGGAGAGGGAGAGGAGGAAGAAGTGGGGGGTGGGGGCGAGGGAGAGCCATAAGGCGTGTCGTGGTCGTGCCAGTGATTGGAACCAGCACACAAAAGCGGTTAACACGAGCCCTTATTAACACAGGAAAAGAAGGGGGAAGTGAGGGGAAGCGGAGGGAAATAGCCCGAAACCGAGGGATAAAAGAGAGAGAAAGAGGGAAAAGGGGAGATGGGGAAAGAGAGTAAAAGGGGGGAAGGTAGAGGAGGGAGGGAGTGATGTTATAAAACCGAGGAGAAAAAAAGAGAGAGAGAAAGTGGGGGGAAAATGGGAGATGGGGAAAGAAAGTAAAAGAGGAAAGAAAGGAGGGGAAAAAATATCACAAAACCGAGGATGGAGGGGAGTGAAAAAGAGGATAAAAGTGAAGAGAGAAAGAGAAAAGGGATACTATAGGGAGAAAGAAAGAGAAAGAGCATACGGGCAAATAATCACCCAAAATTAAGAAGAAAAAAGAAAAAAAAGAGAGAAAAAGATGGGAAAAAAGTATCCCAAAACTACGGTGAATATAAAGGAAAAAAAAATGTTGAAATAACGCTCTTAAGACCAAAAGAAAGGGGAAGTATAGAGAGGTACAAAAACATAAAATCGAGGGGAGAGGAGAGCGGAGAGCAACACCTTAAAAGAGCGGAGAAAATATTTCAAAACCGAGGGGAAAAGATGGATAAGAGTCTCCTGGCGTATCATAGCCGCAGAGAGGGGAAAAAAGGGGGAGATAGGTAGTGAAGACTGAGGGGGGGAAATGTCCCCTATTAAACGTTGTAAGCGGAAACGAGGGGAAAGACAGATACTCGAATGATCTCAGAGTAACACCTTCGTTGAGGGGAAACTGCTCTTGAGGGGAAATGTCAGGAGAGCGAGAGAGCGGATACGAGTCTTACGAGTGAGACATTGTAAAGAATAATTGGTGGGAAAGAGAGAGAGAAAGAAAACGCAAGAAGGAAAGAGAGAAGGGGGGGACTAGAAGAGAGAGAGAGAGAGAGAGAGAGAGAGAGAGAGAGAGAGAGGAGTGGAGAGAGAGGGTGATAGCAACAAAAATTAATGTCGCAATAACAGTTAGAATTATAATAATGACAGTGTTATTTAGAATAATAATTATAAAGATAGTAATAACTTAGCCAAAAAAAACACAAATAACAATGACATCAATTCAACAGCAACCACAACAAACGAACAAACAACAAATAAACAAACAAGCAAGCCTATATCCCCCCTCCCTCTCTCTCCCTCCCTTCCTTTCCCCTTCCCTCTACACACTCCTCCTCCCCCTCCCTCCTCCGCCTCCTCCCTCCCCCCTCCTCCCCTCTCCCTCCCCCTCCTCTTCTCCTACCCTCTCCCTCTTTCTTCCCCTCCTCCCCTCCCCCTACCTACTTTCCCCCCTCCCTCCATACACTCCCTTTCCCCTACCCTACCCTTACCCTTACCCTTATCTCTACCCCTCCCCCACCTCCCATCTCCTCTCCTCCCTCCTCCTCCTCCCCCTCTCTCTACCTCCCTCCACACTCCCCTATACCTCCCCTCCCCCTCCACCCCCACCCACCACCATCTTATCACAGCACCCCCCCCCCTCCCCTAAACATCACCCTCCCTCTACGTGAAAGTAAATGATCTTGAAATGTTATGAAGTTAATGTTATGAAAAGGTGATTTAAGGGAGGAAGAGGAGGCGACAGGAGACCGTGTCCGTTTGCTTTAAGAGACAAGATGTTCGGTTTCTTAATAAGATGTTTCATTTGGGATGTTACGGTGCTTATTTCTTTGTTTTTTTTTGTGCTTGTTTGTTTTAGAGGGGGGAAGGGGAAGGGTGGGAGGGTGGGAGTGGAAGGGGGAGAGGGGGAAGGAAAGTGGGGTGAGAAATGAGGGGGAGGGGGGGAGGGAGGGAGCGAAGGGTGGGAGGGAAGGAGGGTTGGCAGGGAGGGAGGGAGGGAAGGAGGACTATTTTGGAGGGGGGGGAGGGAGTTGCGAAATTGCAGTTGTTTTCATCAATATCATTATTATCATCTAAATCCTTGATCTAGTTCTTGTTAATAACATTGTCATTATTGTTATTATTTTTATCATCAATATCTTCATCATTATTATCAAAATCAGTGACTCACTCCTTCTAATTTGACTTTTTCCCTAATTGAATAAACCTTGCCTACATGCCAATTTGACCTTGTTTAACCCCTCTTAATAGATATTGCTTTAGTGTTGAACTGATCTTGTTCCCACGGCCTTCTGACCTCACCCGACATCTTGACTGACCCGTCTCCCATAAAGCTGGCGGAGATGCAACAATTTTGGACATAGTAGACAAGGCCTGTCGTTGTTTTGATAGATCTTACTTCTGTTTTGACCTGACCTTGTTCCCAAAATATACAAATTATAATGAACTCATCTTTATCAAAACAAACCGTGCATCTCTTTTGACCTGTTCTCATCCTCACAAGTTGACCTGGTTTAACCCCTCCCTGACCTTTCTTCCTTAGCTCTGACGGAGGTACGCGGGATGCTCGACCCAATGGACGAGCCCTGTCGCTGTCCTCTGTCTTGACCTGCCCTCGTTCCCATAGCAGATTAACCTCGTGACTGACCTCTCTTTAACACAAAGTAAATCTTGCCTCTGTCTTGACCTGCCCTCGCTCCCACAGCAGGTCTATCTCGTTTAACCCTGTCACTGACCTCTCTTCAACACAATGTAAATCTTGCCTCTGCCTTGACCTGCCCTCGTTCCCCCAGCAAAGTGACCTCGCCTGACCTTTCCCATGACCTGCCCTCGTTCCCCCAGCAAAGTGACCTCGCCTGACCCTTCCCTGTTCTGTCCCGCAG